GGGAAAGATCACCTCCTTTGACCTGCTGGTCACGCTCCTTTTGATGCAGCCCAGGATACGGTTAGCTTTCTGGGCTGCGAGCGTGCACTGCCAGCTCATGTTCATTTTCTCATCGACCAGCACCCCAATTCCCAGTGTAGTAACACAAACTGTGAGCAAAGCTAAATGAAAAGAAGTATTGGTCATATTTTCAGAATCTCTATGAAGGTTTGTGTCTCTGAGCTTCTTTATTACTGCCAAAACCTGAGGCATGTTTACCAGTTTCCAGAATTATCTAATCTTAGTCTTTTGGTGATTTAAACCTAGCCGGTAACTCAGTATCATGCAGCCATTCATTCACACACACACACCCCCCTTGCCCCCAGGGCGGGATGGGGAGGAGAATCGAAAGAATGAAAACCCCATGGGTTGAGATAAGAACAGTTTAATAACTAAAGTAATGTTCTCAGACTAAAGCCAAAATACAGCACTGCAACAGCTGCTAGGAACAAAAAAATAACTGTTACGGCTGAAACCAGGACATAGTCTAAAGTAAATCTAAGATTAGTGGGAAGTGAAGTAGTAGGTGAAGAAGAAAGCTGCACTATGTTCTTTTTATTCTTATCCCATCCAAATTCTACCTAGCTGCCTCTCTCAATTTAGAATTCCTACATGTCTACAAACCAAAGTTAGAAGAAGGCTAAAAAACTAAAGTCTTCAAACCCCAAAAAACTTGCACAAATTTTTAAAAAATTCTAAATAGGAAATGGGGTTAAAAAATTATACAGATATTAAAAGCATATTAAGCACTTCACACATGCACACACAAAAAAAAAAAATCCTGAAAGAAATTCATATTGTATACTGCTTAATGTAATCTCACTTCCATTTCTGAATTTCCCTAGTTTAGTTGCTTCATCTTCAATTTTTCTATAGGAAGCACCACTATACAGTAAATGTCATTTCTTTCTTCAGACCTTCCTTTTATATTTAGTATGTCTGTTGCATGATAGGGTAAGTACACTTCTACTACTACTACTTTATCTTAAGCTTCAGCCTGTTTCATGTGGTAAAGACACGTCATTTTTATTTGCTGTTTTATCTTATTGTAAACTATACAGAAATTAGGTCATGTAAGCCCTGAATATATAAAATCAGGATCTGCTATTCTACAGCACAAATTACACAAAAATATAGCTTTAGAACCTTCAAGTGCATTTTTAAAAAAGGAAGAAAAGCAATGACCAATATAAAAATGTTTATTAAATGATGGTGTGTCTGTGTATATTATTATAAATCACAAGTATATGAGAATTTGGTTCTCACATCAGACAAATAACTTTTTACAGGTAGTTGCTCATAATTTACTATCCCAGTGATGTTAGCAGCATAACAAGTCTCTTCTTTTTATAAAGACCTGCAACTAAATTATAGACATGGGATGCCCAAAGAATTCCCTATACTTCTATGAAACAAAAGAATTTCTGTTCTGATCACCAGAGACAATAGGAGCTCACAAAGTGTTGTAGTAATAACTTAGGTGCATATATTGATGTTTCTCCTTGTGGGTCTCTAATCACATTTTATTTAGCACACAATCAACTCCACTGAAATGCATCCATTTCTGAAGTGGAACATGGAAGCAAAATGTTACTTTGAAAGGATAGGTATGAGGAAATTAATTGTTCAGTAGAATCTAGAGAGAACTTCAAACTCTAGTAGAATATCATACAAAAATTACTAGCTGACCAAAGCGCTACAGTTAATACAAGATTTTTTCAAAAGGTGATGAAGTTTAATAAGACATAATCAGGACTGAACTCTCTTATTCCCTGTTAACAATCAGTTATATGTTGAATATGTTCTGGGAATTGCACCCTGGAGCTCTGTGTCACTTCTCATTACAAAGGAAAGTATTGGAAACTCTGCATTTAAACATTAACTGCCCAACTAAGTCAGCTCCTGCTATCACAGATATATGCAGACTGTATTATCATACAATTTAGTTTTATTTGACTTCCTTTTTAAAGTTTATGGCAAATACAGAAACAAAAGCCTAAAGGATCCTCTGTATGAATGACTAAAAGCAATGCATTAAACACTGACTGATATAGATAAAGTGGGGTAGGAACTTGGGGGAGAATTATATTTCATTATCTGAAGTGTTATAAAACACAGACAGGGAAGAGAAGCTAAAATAAATATCCTCAGTGCCTGCATAACAATTAGAAAACCCTTGGTTGGAGATACACAATGACATAATTCTTCCCCTGTTTAAGTTTGAACCCGTTACCCCTTGTCCTGTCACTACAGTCCCTAATGATGAGTCCCTCTCTAGCATCCCTATAGGCCCCCTTCAGGTACTGGAAGGCTGCTATGAGGTCTCCACACAGCCTTCTCTTCTCCAGGCTGAACAGCCCCAACTTTCTCAGCCTGTCTTCATACAGGAGGTGCTCCAGCCCCCTGATCATGTTAAATTCCACATTTTTATTTTTTCAGAATCCTGCCACAAGAGAGTACATACATACTATTCAAGACCAAGTCTAGTCACATATGTATTTTCATTGTTGTTGATCTCTATGGAATACAATTTAACTTAAAATGCTTTTTTTCTACCCTTTACAAACTGAAGTCTGTTTTCAGTTATGTGTCTGCCTTCTTGGCAGCCATATTAGAATCACAGAATCATAGAACAGTTAGGGTTGGAAAGGACCTTAAGATCATCTAGTTCCAACCCCCCTGCCATGGGCAGGGACGCCTCACACTAAACCATGTCACCCAAGGCTCTGTCCAACCTGGCCTTGAACACCGCCAGGGATGGAGCATTCACAACTTCCCTGGGCAACCTGTTCCAGTGCTTCACCACCCTTACAGTAAAGAACTTCTTCCTTATATCCAATCTAAACTTCCTTTTTAAGTTCTAACCCATTACCCCTTCTCCTATCACTATATTCTTTCAAAATTATTTCTTGTTTCTCTAAAAGAAAGGCAGTTGAACAAAACACAAGAACACTTGATTGGTACTATTTACCTCATCACCAGGACCACAAAAGAGAAAGGGGAAAAAAAAAAAAAAAAGAAAGGGAAAAAGGGAAAGAAAAGTGAAAGGGGAAAAAAATGGGAAAACAGATGTGCTAAGGCATTAAGGCATTATAATTTTTATGAATTGCATTGATATCTACCCTTGACTGCACTTCCCTAGTAGTAAACTGTGGGAAAATGAGGGAAATTAGAGACCACCTTCCCCAGTCCCCTAAAGCTATATTATAACATTAAGGAAATCTTAAGGGAAAATGTAGCTGCTACTCCCAGGATGAGATGCGGATGGCATGCATGTAATTTACCTGGTGATAGTTCTCCAGGCAACCCAGCAACTTTGGCATATGCTAACAGAAACTGACCGGGGGGTGGAGTGGAGCAAAGGCCCTGCAGCCAGGCTCTATTATACTCCCTGCAGGAGTGGGAACTTGAAGGCACCATGTACTGATAAACTGCACAGCAGCTGCCAAACAAGGAAACTAGATTTGCATTATTAAAAGCAAAGCGAGAGGATTTTACACCCATCAGTAGCAAAGTGTGTATGACTGGAGTCACTCAAGCTCCATAGGCACAGAGTTAAAAAAATGAAACTTGTGTTACCATGGAAAAACCTGGACAGGTCCTAGGGCCTCCTACAAGGTCAGGATGAACAACACTGACAAAGAACCAACAGCAGGAGAGGAGGCTTTGCCCTTTTGTAGGTGGAATAAGAAGCAGGGCTAATGAATCTCTAATCAGGACAGACTATCCTTGAAGACTAGTACATCCTGGAAGCACATGGACATTGTCAACATATGGCTTCACACATCAGCAAAACATGACTAGGGTGTCTTTTTAATGAAAATGATGTAACTTTATGCAAATTTACTGACCCCTCCATACATGGTGGGAGGGTTATAGGGAGTTACTAACCCGAATCAAATTGTATAAATATGTGAAATTAGGAAAGGGAAGGGAGGGAAGACTCCATCGTAACTTCTGGGATCAGTTAACAGGCTGAACCTCTCTTATCCCCCATAAGGATTCCTATTGGGTAAGAACTTTAACTTATGTGTACTAAATTACTAACTCACACTAGCTGTTATTAGTGATAATAGTCTGGTTGTGTATCACTTCAAGCTTGTTTTTGCAGACAGTACCTTATCACTGGCAATCTCTGACTTTTTCCTGTCACAAATTTGTATTGTGTATAATAAAAGACTACAGCTGAGGTCCGCTTTGTGTAAGCCTCCAGAGACTTGAATATTTGAAATAAGGGATTTGACTCGGTGATGCCGACGGTACAGGTCCCTAAAGAGGTTACACGTATCACACTCAGATTCAGTGGGCTGTCCAGTAGGATTCCCCAAAACAGTATGTGGATGGGCTGGTCAGGCACAAGGGTCTCTTCTCTTGGGATGCTAGCAAGCTGGTCAAATATAAAGGGTTTGAGGAAACCCCCCTTGTAATGTGACAGTATGGGAGTGCGGGAAAAATTTGGACAAGAAGGTGCAAGCACTACACAATCCTTAGATTTAGAACCATTGATCAAGTCTGAGACTAGGATTGGATCCAGCTGCACCCAGCCCCTCTAATATCTGAGGATCAGCTGGAAAGCAACAGGATCCTTTCTGAAACTCATGACTCAATGGGAGGGTCTCCCTAAAACATCTTGTCCACTGGCCTAAGGCAACCACCCTTTCCATGATATAAACTTAATGTATGTTTTCAAATTACCATAGGCTTATGTTTTGGGGAACAAACACACACATAATACTGATCTAGATACATTACCTTCCTTACAGTAGCCTTCAAATTCAAGTTGTTTGTAAGTGTATGTTTATGGTGAACATGCATGCACACACAGATACTTGTACACATACACTAAAAAACATGTACATATATGTACACAAAAATATAGGATAAAAAAGAAAAAGTAAGAATTACTTTGTTAGAAAGAACAGAAAATAAGATACAGTTGTTTGTAATCACTATATACTTACTATTTAGTTGAATCTGATAACTGATATTCTCGTCGTCTATCATAACATTCCTGGATCCCAGGGTCATTCCATAAACTTCTTATTGCATCTACATAAGGGTTCTCAAAGGTTGACACCTTCTCTACATCGACTTCTTGAACTAAGTGTGCATGAGCCTAATTTAAAATATAGAAAACAATAAAATTTAGTTTGTTTTCTGTTTACAAATAGTTCATATACAGTCAATATGATTAACAGGAATCATTTTTTAGACTGGCCATCTCACCAATGTGAGGTTATGAATGAATGATGATAAGGTGCTGTCCTGGGTTCAGCAGTAGCAGTCATGTTTCTCCTTCTTGGTAGCTGGTGCAGTGCAGCGTTTTGACTTTCGGCCTGGGAACAGAGCTGATAGCGATGTTTTGGTTTGGTCAAGGACTTTGTGAGCCTCATGCTCTGCCAGGGAGGAGGGGAAGCCAGGAGGAAGCAGAGACAGGACACCTGACCCAAACTGACCAAAGAGGTATTCCATACCACAGCACGTCATGCCCAGAATGTAACTGGGAGTTGGCCGGAAGGGCTGGGAGACTGCGGGATAGGAGGAGGTATCGGTCAGAGCTTGGTTGGGCTGGGGGGGCGAGTTATCGGTCAGCTGGTGCTGAGGTGTTGTATTCTCTTCCCTTGTTATTTCCTTTATCATTATTATTATTGGTGGTAGCAGTAGTGATCTGTGTTATACCTTAGTTACTAAACTGTTCTTATCTCAGCCCGTGGGAGTTGCATTCTTTTCGATTCTCCTCTCTGTCCCTCTGGGAGTAGGGGGAGGGAAAGAAGGGGGGAGCGAATGAACGAGTTACCTGACTGGGTTTAAACCACGACAGGTGCGTTCAAACTACGAAAAACAGTAATATGAGAGGTGAACTAATAAATGTGTATGTAGGACCTTATTTCAGAATAAGCTTATTCTAATCCACCATTATTTAGCTGAAGTGGATAAAATGCTTACATTAAAATTTATATCTAATTAAGCTAATTTTAAAGAAAGCTTTCAGTTTTCAGGTAATATTTCAGGGCATATAATATACCTGCTTTTTAAATGATAACCAGTTAAGAAACCTGGCAGAGTTAGACTAATGGAGTCAGAAAGAATGGGGAGGAGGGAGGATATTTGTCTTTTTAAGAGATTCATTTATATGCACATACACTAAGAGAGAAAAAGAAGGGATGAAAACTTAGTCAAGCAAAAAACCCAATGGATCCTATTCTCAACTCTAGTCTGTATTTTAGACTAAACAAATTTCAGCAAGGACACAGACTCCTTTGCATTTTAAATTAGGTAAATGCATACAGAAAAGACTGGTTTTGCTCTTCTTAAAGTAATTTATCGTGTTTACACACATACAAGCCATCACTTCCCTTTCTAGACAGTCCAGGAGAATGCTACTACTCATTACTTAACAAAAATTTATAATTGCAACTATTGTTTACTCATGTGGAACTCCAGGTTCAAGGTGAAAAATGTTTGCCTTCAAGATAAGGAGAATATATGCTCTCTACGATAGGAACCTGTTGCAGAATGACTCTAAGAGCAGAACCATAGAGTTCTGGCGGACTGTGCAAGCAAGGCAGGGGGTGGCCCCCACAGGTGGCCGGAGACCGGACCTGGGAGGAGAATGTGGAGGAAGCTGTGGGGGCTAACCAATACTGTTATGCCAAGAAGGAGTGGCTGAATACCACTCCTATATATGTGTGAACTGCGTCACAAATGAAGTAGAAGTTGCTTATCACCCATATTGGGTTGGCCTGTCTGCTTCTCCTCGCCGCTTACAAATGGCGCCCGAACAGGGACGCGGGCTACAGGGCCCCGGCCGACGGGGACCCGGGATACAGGGCCCCGACTAGCGGGGACCCGGGATACAGGGCCCCGACTAGCGGGGACCCGGGATACAGGGCCCCGACTAGCGGGGACCCGGGATACAGGGCCCCGACTAGCGGGGACCCGGGATACAGGGCCCCGGCCGACGGGGACCCGGGATACAGGGCCCCGACTAGCGAGGACCCGGATACAGGGCCTCGGCCGATGGGGACCCGGGATACAGGGCCCCGGTTTAACGGGGACCCGGGATACAGGGCCCCGGTCGACGGGGACCCGGAACGGCGAGTGAGCGGCGCCGGCGGCAGCGGCCGAGAAGCGCGGGCAATGCTGCTACGGTGGCGTGACGGACCCGGGTGCTTGGACTAACCGAAAGAATCCGCCGCTGGGGCGAACCAGACACTGCTGCGTCGGGAGGCCGATCCAGAGACCGAGGTTACAGGACGACCCAGAAGAAGATGATCCGGAAAAGGCTGGCCATGAAAATGGACCGAGAGGTAGCCCTGGACTTATTACAGTGCTTTTTATAAAAGCGGGGAATTGAGCACTGAACTTTTTACAGAGCTTTTTATAAAAGCGGGGAATTGAGCCTGAGACTCTAAAGCAGCTAGCAGGTCTAGTGGCTAGGGAAGGCTAAGAGATTTTTTTTTGCAGATCCTAATACAATATTTGAGAAGAGTGAGTGGCGAAAGTTTGGTGATGAACTATTTGACTCGGTGCTTAATGATTATAAAAAGGCAGAGAAACTCGGTAAACCACGGAGGGAAGTAATGAACTGTATAAAAAGATACAAGGCAGAAAAGAAAACTGCCGCGGTAGCAACGGAGAAACTAGGAACAGACGTCCCCGGTCGGTTGAAACCGGGGGAAGATTACAACTCGTTTCCCCCAGCTCGCGGGAGCACAGGGTTTCCCACCCCGCACCCCCCCCCCCCTTCCTTTTCTCCCCCTCCTTCATCAGAAGGTGCCGCGGAGGAGGTGTAACCCCCTGCTCCCCCACCACCCCAGTTCCGAAAGTAGGGACTTTGAAAAGGACAGAGGAAGTATATTAGAAGGTATACGTATGATAAATGTCGAGGAATGCCGAAAGAAAGAGGGCGGTGCCTCGGCGCCGGATCGATTGCGGCGCCACTGTGAAGCACACAGTAGAAAATAGAGATCATGCGCTAGCGGGAGATTTAAAGGAACCGCGAGTCTCTCCAACCCACTACGCCCTAGAGTGAAAAAAAAATTTAACTCAGTTACGGAGGAGCCAGGTCTGCAGATGGCTACATACCGAACGAGATACATCTGATAAGAAACACACAACTGCAAGCAACGGAGACTCCGAGTTCGGCGCAGGATCAGCCCCCGAATCCCCTGAATCCGAGCCAGATTTATATCCTCTGCTTCCAGACCCTGACTCTTTGTCTCCCCGGTCGGTCTGCTCAGACTTACTGGCCCTGGAGACGCTCAGTTGTAACAATGGGTAACCAAATATGTGATCATTACTGGTGAATTTTCTGCAATGGGCATCTTTGCATATCCTGTGTTTACTACACAGCAGGGGGCTAAAGAGTGGGAAGCTCTTGATCTCAAAATAGTTAAGGAGGCCTGACAAACAGTGACCACGTATGCGTTAAAATCCTCTTATACTCAAGCTGTATATGTTATGATTTTTTCTTGCAGTTGACAGGGGGAGCCCATACAGTTTCTCTGTGATACTCATGTACTAGAAGTTGGTAAATATAAGTATGCCTAGGTTTCTATCAACCCTTGGAGACCTCTGTAGATACTGCTGGCCACTTCTTCCAGCACAGGCTGGCCACCTGTGTTGGAATGAGTGTGCATTTTGGTCAGTATAAAAGCCCAAGCCTCATACGATGTGGGGGAGGCAGAGCCTCTGTGGGGATGTCTGCTAAGGTTGAGCCTGCCACCTTGCACTGCAATGATGCTTCTCGGAGCTGGTTTGCTGTTGGTCTCCACAGGGTCCTTGTGCCACGTTCTTTACGTGGGACTGTAGTGGGAGTAATGATGGCTTTTGCATGGACTAAAAAAAAAAAAAAAAAAAACGGGGGGGGGGGGAGAGAGTAATGATGTTACATTTAACTTTAACCTGTCTACTTCTCAAGAACTGATAATCTGGGGGAGGGGGTATATTTGTGTCCTCCTGCCTACAGGTCCATGGTGACTGTCTGCAAAGTTTGTCAAGCCTTGCCATGAGCTGGACAGAGGAATGGATAAACCTGATGCCTCAGCTACAGGAGCTGACCGCGAATACCCCAAGCAGACTGAGATAGAGAAAGAGAAAAACGAATGACTGCAAAACATCACTTGGGGGCAGATGAAAAGTAACATCCTGAATATGTGTGCTTGTAAAGTAGCTATTATTAGAGGTTGTGATTTTGTGTATAAAACCACCTGTATTTACTAGCTAGTTGCTAATAAGAAACTGCACCTTGTATTGTATAGATTTGTCACTTGTAAAAGAGATGTTAGAGTATGGAAATTTGCAGCAGCTGCTAGAAAATGCTAAGGCAAAAGCTAGAAAAAATTTAATACAATGGTAGTGTTATAAAGCAGGTGATGGAACAAATTTAAGAGGGGGGGAGAATTCCACTGGTAAGAAATTTCTTTGGCTAGTCCTTCACTGCCATCAGCATCTTCAACATGCTGCTGCACCCTGTAATAGTTACTCTGCTAATGTAAATGTGTGTGTGCCTTGCTGTAGTAGTGACTTGTTACTGGATAAAACAAAAGGGGGAAGATGTGGAGACAGTGTCCTCACAGGAGAATGCATAATTGGTACATAAACTTTGAATAGTCCTGAAAGATACAGCAAGGCCATGAGAGGCCTGAAGAAGCTTAAGCAAGCAAGATAAGAGGCTGGAATTCACCAAGTTAATGAGAACTGTGGACTGTTGGCAAGCTTTCAAGGTTGAGTTCTCACACCTGTGTTTAACCAATTATATGTTAGTCACTAAGGGTCTTCAAAACATGTATCCAATCATAATATGCCAAATCACTGTAAGTGCTTCAGCTGGGGCCTTGGCTCAACTAAGCAGACTGGGTTGCTGAGTTGCTAAGCAGACAATTCTACATCAAAGGCAATTCCTGATTTGTTTTAATGTTCACTCTGTAAGACATGCAACACTGCAGAACCTTTTGTTGTTGGTACAGGGACATGGATGTGAAGAGTTTGATGGAATGTGTTGAATGAGTCTCTCTGATTATGCTAATTTGATGCATGCACAGCTGAGAACCCTGGCTCAGCTTACCCAGCAATAGTAAATGAGCAGTATTCTAAGAATAACTAGATGGTTGT